GAACAGGACAGCATGTTATTGGTTGGGACTGCCCAGCTTGAGCTGCTGCTAGCTGCCCACTGAAGTACGAAGACTTCTCCCACCGTCGGGAAGAAGCTCCAGTTACCCTGTTTCTACGTCCGTCTTGCGGAGATTTTGACAGATACCTTGTCCCTCGCCGTGTTTATTTTTTGTGGTGACCTCTCCAGAGTGGATAAACAAAGGATGTCAGGTGCTCGACAGCTGGCCCTGTGAGACTGACCTTTTAGGCATGATTGCATCTGCGGCTGAGGAGCCGTCCTGTATAGCTAGTAGGCTAGTAGGGTCATGAAGGCACGCAAGCCATCACACCGCCTCAAGATGCAGTCTCTTCGTGAAGATCGAAGAGACCAACAAAATGTGCTTAGCAAAGCTTTGCCCATTGAGTCTGAGGTGGAATCAAGCTTGTCAACCTAATTGACCATCTCGTTTATCTCCGGATCTCATTCTTCCCATTGAAAAGCAAATTTACCAATCGGAGCGAACATTGTAATTATCACCTTTTATGAAATTCCAAGTCCACCACTGTTCTCATCTGACTGTTACATCTAGGCTGATAAGAGCTAGAAAATCTGCGCCTACCACCACACTTGGCAATAAAAGATACTCCATTGGCGCCACGTCATGGATAATCTTCATAAGTTTATTTTTAGAAGTAATTTTTTGTATCGGTGCTCTTTGATTCTGATGGCGGTAGAAGGATTCAAACCTTGGCATTGACTTAATCGTCTGCTTTTTGGTATTCCATTTTACGCCACCACTGATTTTGTTCTGTTCATTTATCCTCCCTGCTGTTGACACAGCAACAATACGGGACTGCTTGCTACTGGGCTGATAAACTTGTTTGCATTGGGAAAAGTGAGTTCTAGTACCTAATTCGTCCTAAATATGTTTCAGATCAACCCAAAGATATCCTTTTATATGCTCAGGCTCTGTATCATAATAAACAGTATCATCGCGCTATTTCTCTTCTCACTAATCGGAAAGATCTCTTGGTAAGCTTGCCCTACAAAAAGAATCAATAAACCGTATTAAAGAATTTTCTAGCGTGTCGCCATTTAATAGCTCAATGCCACTATGCTTGCGGTGAGTACGCAGAAGCATTGAACATCTTGGAAGAGACGGAAAAGTGCCCCACACATGCGTTGAACTCTAGTATAACTACGCTAGTCACAGGCACACTACCGAANACGGCACAAAAACTTGATCGTAGTAATATTGTAAATTCTCGATCTAGAAGAGATTCTACAGATGATGAGTTACTGGGAGGATTCACATTAAAAATGGTAATTCGAGTGCCTTTTGTCTACCGTATTCGCTGGCCCTTTTTTAGCTTCAAAGTAGCGTTGCCTTGCTCAAAGGTAAAGTATACGAAAATCTGGATAATCGAGCCGTTGCCACGCAACATTATCGTGAAGCGTTGCTGTATGATGTTACGTGTTACGAGGCGTTTGAAAAACTGGTTCATTTTCAGTCGTTAACACCGGCCGAAGGTAAGTGGCTTATCTTCTTTGATTTTCCCACTCCTCTATACAGAGAAAGCGTTACTTTCCGAGCTCGATTTTACCGATCAGTTGGATCCCACAATGAGTGCCTTAGTTGAATTTCTGTACAAGGACAAACTGAATAAGGTTTATTCATTTGCTTACTTCTTTACTCGTACATCCGTACTTTATTCGACTAGAGTTTAACATCGGAAAGCGCCATTCCGACTGGGCTTGAGATGCTGAATGATAATGTGGACGTAATCATCAATATGGCTGGTCGAATGCTTGATTTATGCCAATTCCAAGAGTGCTATGAAATCACCTCACGGTACTGTTCTTGTCCACCACTCATTTTGTTAATTCTTTCACCCACATATTAGGCTAATGCGTGTCGATCCGTACAATCTGACCTGTTTACCAATTCACATATCTGTCTTGAAGGAACTGGATCGACCAAACGGTTTGTCCCATGTTTCCACCAATTGCATACACTCTTTTAGAATTATTCCGAATCGCTCACAAACTGATGAACGTGTATCCATCCAATGCAGTAAGTATGTTCCAGTTTAAACTAGTTGATGTGTACATGTCTCTGTTTCTTCTTTTTTCAGATATCTTGGTTTGCGGTTGGTTGTTATTATCTCTGCACCCAACGAAACGAGTTAGCTCGACGTCATCTTTTGTGAGTCAGCCCTTCTTTGTTTTGTAGCTAATGGAAAACGCGATGAACGAAATGTGGTAAATTCATGCTTTTTCACACGGCCATTGCAGTGGGGTAAGCTGTTTTATTACTCAACCACGTAAGCTCGAGTAGGAGATTAACTGGACAAAATATTGTCACCCACAGAGCAGTCGGACGGTGCTTTCAGTGCACCATGCATTAAGGAATCAGTATCTAATTTGTTTGAGCATATGCCCCTTGGGATGGACTCTCACACCCGATACATCTCATTAAACGGGTGACCACCTATTCACTAGTCTCTTGGCCAGTTCATACATTTTAATGTGGACGATTTGAAATCAAGGTTTAAAATTGCCCCTAGACGAACCGTTTAATTCGCCATTCTAGTTATGGCCTCGGATGCTTTTTGTTCTGTCAAGGGAAGGCAGTGAGTTGGAATTGCTCAGCGGAGACCACGAACACAGGTGGATGGCGGTATTTTGAGAGGAGACAGGGATGATGAGGACTGCCTATCGAAACGTCCCCATCACCATACCAGGGCACTGAAAGGATTGCTTGTTGGACAAAATTATTAGACTCGATAGTCAAGAGAAACGGTAGCTTGGGAACTAAAACGGTGAACCATACTGTCTTTGTTGAATAAGTAGGTGACAGCCATGCTGTGACAAACAACTCAGCTTTATTTCTGGGAGCTGTTTTTCGCCCTCGGCCCATCTTTCCCGCATGTCTTTTTTAAATGCATCAACTATATCACTTGAAGATAAGGTGTGTTTCGTGAGTTAGAATCCAGTTTTCTGAGAGCTTTTATAATTCGTGGATTTTTTTCCAACTTGTTCCTTTTTCTAATCCTTCCGACGGTTCTTTACTTCATTTACTTCCTATTCTCAGGTTATGAATCATCGCAGGACCTTGATTAATTTGTAAGATGTTTACGGGCTACTTAGCTCATCCTTATGTGTTGAATATCAAAAGCTTTCGTTGCAGAGTTCTCTGGAAGAAAACATTAGCTTAGCATGTTTCTGAGACTTGTGAACTTTAACTTTAAGGCTTATCTCACCAAGGTTTATCCTTCATTAACCGTGTCGCATCAGTTCCTCTCAACAATCGTATGGCATGCATAAGAAGGATATTAAACTCACAGTTACGTAGCTAATTCTCACCAAGAATACTCTAATAGGTATGTCAAAAAAGTTTTGGTGAGATCAGAACATGTCTTTTAGTCCGTGCACTGTTGTTTATCAATCATAGCTGTTCTGCAATGCCAACACCAAAATATCCATCTTTCGGATGAATTCTACACGCGATGATCAAACGGTTAAAGCGACAATTGTCGACGCGCTTCGGGCTTCAATACTCGTACAGCTTTGAGCATAGACTGCTGCGCCTGAGAATCATAAATAGCTTATTAGGGCCTTATATGATTCGCCACTCAAAGCCCCGGGGTTTAGGTTTTTGGCTCGCATAACGGAACAGTAAGTTCTCGTGAATATGATGCGTTGCCCTTCTGCTTTTCATCATATAGTGGTATATAATCAAAGAACATCGCTCTCTTATCATTATTATCATCACACAGTGGAATACAGTGAAGTGCACTTCGCTGATTGCTGCCAAACTCATGATGCATTCAAGATAAACGAGAATGTGTAAGGTGGACAGAGATCGGAATTATTTTAAGGAAGGGGAAAGGAAGTGAACTTTTGTGGTCAACACACAACACATATTTTATTTATGCATACACTTTTTGAAGCCTTTTGGTTTGGTAAGAAGTATTCCCACACTATTGTCATACCAAACTTTTCTGTCTTCTTCCGAGCATACTCGGACTAGAACGTCAAAACCGGCGCGGCTAGGGTTGCCGGGTTCCGTCATTGAATAGCTAGTCTATGGGGTTTACCCTGTCTGCTGTTCATCACACAAAAATGTATACAACAAAAAGTTTCCTTATGACATATCGCATTCGATATTCTTTTCTCATATTTTCCTTACTCAACAGATTTAATACTTTTGTATAAATACGACTGAAAACCAGCAAGCACATGTGCAATCAGGTCATTAGGTCATACACCTACACTCACCAAGACTATCCCAATGTTTTGATGACATTTTTCTCCATCTATCCTTATTCATTAACATATCCGTGCCCATGACCAGAAAAGCTACTCAACTAGATCGTCGTTTCGGTCCCACGTGGTTGGCGTTGGGTCATGCATTTGCCGCGGACGGAGAGCACGATCAAGCGATTGCATCTTATTGCACCGCCGCACAAGTTATCCGCGGGTACGTTCACTGAGTTTCGTGTGTTTGTTTGTGTGTGTGTGTGTGTGTGTGTGTTTGACGACTCAGCAGATATATTCAATGTGCAAATCTCATTTTATTTTTTTATCAATCAGCTCTGAATCAGTAGTGCTACCTCTGTACATGATTACCCGAATTCAAATAAGAGTTCGTTTTGCGAAATTCCACATCAAGGTCGAGTAGTAGAGACCGAAATTTCCAGTTTATTGGAGAAACAGTTCTCCAGATATACAATCCGTCAGATCGCACATGGCAGTGACTTAGATTAAAAGGATATCCCTGATTTTTAATATTCCCATATTGAGCAATGCATGTTGATAAGAGTTTATTTTAACCGACTGTTCGATATCGAACTACGAAAAATGGCAAGCGTACCTTTAGTTGAAGTGAGATCTTTTGGTCTTAGCCCTGTCTAGTCATCTACTGACGTGAAATTCCGCATCAGATGCAGAAGTCCATTGCACTCCACAAAGGAATTAATCAATTAATGTGTTAACATAAGAACAGTTTACATACCGCCAACTACTCAATCCTCCGACTTATTTACTAGAGTAAGATTTTGATTTTAGCGATACACCAGCTAACTGGAAAGTTCCCCATCGTGCTTGATACCGCCTATTCACCTTCGACGTTGTTATTCGGATGAATCCTAAGCCATGCGAAAGGTAGTAGGATAAAAGCTGCGCCCACGCAAAACGGTCTGTCCGGGACCTCAATTGAAAGTTCATCTGTCTCAGTGAGAAAGAAAACAGTAAGCTTGGAGAATAAAGCACCACGGTTTCAAACTCGTGGAGCTTGGTTTCATGCAGTGTCATGAACGAAGAGCATGCCTTTCTGTATCCGTATAGGGTTTTCTTAGAGTTAGTCTGATTGTCCTTACTGTTGACAATGAGGTTCCTGCACCATGTTGTTCTTTTGTGAGCATTTATGTTCACTGATGATTTTAATTAATACTCACGGCATTTAGAGCGATGATTGACTTAGTGCGATTTTCATCATGATTTTTAAGCTTTAACAAACACGGGGTAATGAAAATAGGAAACGCAGTGGGTGTTCTAAAATTGTTCCAGTATTGAAAAATACGTGATATTTGGACCGGTTGTATATTTCGTGTGATGATTTCATGTTAGTAGTGGAGGATTTGATTCAATTTCAAAGCAGAATTCGTCGTGTACATGGCAAATGAAGTGTGACCTGGAAAGTTAAGAAGCACTGGACAGCTGTTTGGACCTGGTTGAGTCTCATCAGCAGTGCGAATCCATCGACCCAACTTGGGATCGAAACCGAGACCTCATAGGCAGGAAGCAGGCATGCTACTCACTCGGCTTTTCAGCTTTTTAATTCATGCCATATACACGACGAATTCTGTTTTGAATTCCATGATTCCTCATATCGTGATTCTTTCATATTTCTGCTCTTGCTACTTATGAGTAGCACCAATGGACTGAATATATTCTGGTGCTGGCATCAAAGACGCAGATGGAAAGCGGTTTCGGCGCGATACAGTGACTTGCAGTTGAGTGATATAAAATATTAAAAGTAGCATTATTTGTCTCCAAATATTTGGTTTTTAAACTTCTGTTTTATGTGTCGGTGAAATTTTCTTTCATTCAGTCTCAAACCCTAATATATTGGATATTGGATGTGCGACTAAAACGGGACAAATCGTCGAATCACGTTCAATTGGTCATACAAGTTCGTCTTATTTTCATGTAGAAATTGTGATGTATCAGGTTGTTCCACATTAACAAACAACAAGCAAATCTATAAGCATAAATCACAGCGGAAAATTTTGTAACGTCATGCAACACAGTGGCTGTCAGACAAATGGGAAACTTATACACAGTCTGCGCGCTAACCGAATGCATGAGCAGCGCACTATAGACGATTTAAGCTCGTGGTCAGTGGGGAATAGGAGAANTAGCAGTGACAACGGCTGTATTGCCTCAAATTTTAAATCACAGCACAGAACAGTGTGATCGAGAAGCATATTTCAGTATTACGATCTCTTTATACTGATAACAGAAGCCGAGTTCAAGCCTGCAGCATTTTTCTGCCAGAGTTCCCCACGAAAAGTTCTAATCAGGCTTACCCCCTTTCTTATTTTCAATATAACTTCGGGCTACGCTTGGCTCTGGATACAACTCTGTTTTCGTAAAGGGATAGCAACATTGCTTTTCTCCCAACTGACTAACTTTCCTATGAAATGCGCAGACGACATTGTACTTCTAGGTGAAGACCCAGGTAAGTTTCAAGCTTTTCGTGATAGCTGGAGTACTAGTGTAGACATGTTCGGCATGCGTTTTGCATCTTGAAAGAGTAAAATGTTACTACGTAACTGGGTTGTTCCACCTTTCCCCTGGCTGGGGAACAATGGAATCACTGATCGTTCCCATTTTCAAGAAGGGATCTCGCAACAATTGTGAAAGCCACCGCGGCATAAGTTTGATCCCAATCGTCAGCAAAATGTCAGCCTCAGCCATACTTCCACGACTGACGCTTTTAAGAGAGACCAACATCCGTGAACAGCAAGCCGGATTCCGGCCTGGCCGTGGATGTATTGATCAAACTTCTACGTTGCGTCAGGTCCTTGAACTGCGTCACATTCACCGTTGACCAACGATCGCAGTGTTCCTTGACCTGAAAGGAGCATTCGAATCAGTTGGCCGCGAAGCTCTGATGGGTCTTCTTCTTCGAAAA